GGCTGGTCAGTGTGTTACGGGGGTTGGAGGGAATCCTGTGTCTGTACCTGTATTTAATATTGTCAGCACCCTGGCACTTTGTGAGCCGTCTCCTGGAGGCGTTCAATAGCTACACCTCTCCCTTTTCTCTTTGGGGACTCAGCCTACAGAGGAGATTATCTGGTGCTGGGTTGGACGTGGAGAAATTATTCCAATTTTTTCCCTCTTCTCTGGGGCCAATGGCAAAGTGTATGAGCATTTGGGAAATTTTTCATGGGCTTGGGGTGTCCTATGGCCAGGGATCAGCATGTTTCTGAATGTTCTCGTGATCCTGTGTAAAGTTAAAGAACAGTTTGGGAACACTGCCCCATCTGCTACTGGTGCTCAGCCCAGAGGCAGGCTCTGTGCAGCCACCCACATTGTCCTAACATGAAGGAGGGCAGCATGGACCCATGCAGCCCACGCAGCTGCACCTGCTGCTACATCACCTCTCACGTTGTTCCACCTTCCACCACGTCTCCAACCGCTGCACGGTGCAATGCCGCCATGCAAACCCCCGTGTGCCAGTGTCAGGGTCAACCGGTGCCAGTATCAGTGTCCCCAGCACAGAAAAGGAAACGGACACACAATCAGTCCGTCTGGTGGAGGATGAGGAGGCAGCAGTGTCATCGCAAGACAGAGATGAATGAAAAGGAGACGGGAGGAGGGCCATCCCAAGAATCAGGGACAGAGGATGAAGCAGTAGTAACCACTCAATCTTTATCCCTGAGGGAGCTATGGGATATCCAGAGAGACTTTAGCCTTTGTCCAGGTGAACATATGATCACTTGGCTGCTCCGATGCTGTGATAATGGGGCCAGTAGCATGGAGTTAGAGGGCAGAGAGGCCAAGCAGTTGGGGTCACCTGCTGGAGAAGGGGGCACTGACAAAGCAGTTGGAAGACGGACACAAAATGTAAGCCTCCGGAGATGACTCCTGACAAGTGTGAAGGAAAGGCAGTCTTTCAAGTGAAGTGTGCCACATCACCCAGGAAAACGGACCACCATGGAGAAAGGTATCCAGGACCTGAGAGAACCAGCTCTGCTAGAGATCATTTATCGTGACCCAAACCATGCATGGGCACCCAAAGATCCAGGTGAAGTTCCATGCATGCAACCCATGTGGCAGAAATGAATATGGAGTGCACCATCCCTGAATGCCACCTTGGAAGAGGATGAGGCAGTGGCAGTGGATGAGATGGTTTGACAATTTTGGGAATATGAGGAAAGCCTCTCTTTCCCCATATAAGCCTGTGTTTCAGCTGTAGAGGGACTATCCCAGGAGTTTAAGCAATTCTGAGAGATGTTCTGCTCCCCTCCTGACCGAGCCAGTGTCTCGGCTATTAGGAGTAGGCGTTCCTCTGCTCAAAGAAGGGAATACAGCAGGTATCCATCATGGGGTACCCTGAGGTTTTACCTAGGTAAGGAGGTGGACTGTTGTGGCCTGAATGAAGTCATGTTGCCCCCTGGGTGCTGCTGTGCTCAACATGCTGGAACTCCAGTATGAACTGGAGTCAAAGGCAGCCAAGTGATAACGCCACGATTGCCATTGCTTATGCCTTTTTCTCCATTCCCCTGGCAGCAGAGTGCAGGCCACAGTTTGCTTTCACCTGGAGGGGCGTCCAGTACACCTGGAATCAATTGTCCCAGGGGTGGAAGCACAGCCCTACCATCTGCCATGGACTGATGGACTGCCATGGACTGCACTGGAACTGGGTGCAGCTCCAGAGCACCTGCAGTACATTGATGACATCATCTGCGACACAGCAGACGAAGGTTTTGAAAAATGCAAGATCATCCAAATCCTTCTGAGAGCTGCTATTGTCGTAAACAAAAGTAAGG